TTTTCTCTTATCCATTGTTTATTTTCTTATTGAAGGTCTCTTTTTATATGCATGTTGAACTTTCTTCGCCTTTATTCTGCATTTATTTATTTCAAAATAGTTTTAACACGAAGTGCACACAATGAAATGCACATCTTCAGTGGCATGGTTTGATCAGCTTTGGCAAATACATACTTGTGTAACCTGTTTTCACTCAGGATACAGAGCATTGCATCCCCCTTCTGCCCTTTCCACCAAACAATGCTTTCCACCCTAAGTTAAACAGTGTTTTAATTTCTCTCATAATGCAACATTTTTGTTCGCTCCAGAATTTCATATAGTCATTTTTTTTGTTTAAAACATTTTTCCTCTATTTCCCATGTTCTGTTTCTTTTAAGATATGATTCACTGTGTTTATTCACTCATGTCTCATCTGGTTTAGACTTGATTTCTGAAATTACTTTCTTTTATTTCTAATTCTCTTGAATTCTATTCTCATAACTTTTTATTTGCAAATTGCATTGCTTCTGATTTGTTTTCTCAATTCTGATTTATGCTGTTTTGTCACAATTGCTATCTTTTCAATTCCTCTCATTCATTTTGAAATATCAGATTTCAGTTGTATATTGCATGATTTTATAGTATGTTTATTCTCTAACTAATATCACAGTGGGTGATTCAATCATTTTTTATTGATTGAAATTGTAATATTAGGAAGTAAACTTTCTATACCAGTAAACACCTAATTCAGTGTCTTGTAATCATAAACAATTGTTATATACATATTTTATTGAGCTGAAGTTTAACCTATTTTTATAAATGTGAGATTTTCTCCCCCTGTGAAAAAACTACATCTAACTCCATAAAACACCAGGATTTGTATGCCAAGAGGTATCAAGCTTGTAACTGAAAGGGATCCGAAAACTTTTCTTGATCAACATCTTCATTAATAATTCCACTTTTCTAAGCAAATTTCCCAAGATCAAATAGACATGTGGTAGTAAAACTGGGGCTAAATTCCTGATTTCCTGACTCAGTATTGTGCACTTTATTTTTTTTTTAAAGATTTATTTATTTATGCATACAAGAGCTGGTGTACAGGCCAGAGATGCGGGGGGTGAGAGGATTCACCAGAGTCAGAGTTGGGAACAGAACAGGCAGATTGAATGAAGTACAATGCTGAAGGGAGCAGCAGGCGAATCAGGAGAGGTCTGCTGCACCATGTGGGTTGCTCCCTGGCCGGCCTGGGATCGAACTCATGCTGCAGAGGCTGTGGATTGCTTCATAATGCGGTGCTTAACCCCTTGCACCACCAGGGAGGCCAGTATTGTGCACTTTATACCTTAACAGTTTCAAAATAAAGAAAAACATGTTTCATTACAATATAAAATTTACACAGATCTTGCATACCTACTTTCTTTCTTTCTCAGTCCCTGTTTTCTTACCCAGTTGATAGTCATCCAAATTTATGGGAAGGTGTGTTTGTGATTGATTCACCTGGAGGGTTCTTCAAGAGATGGTCTAGAGAGTCAGAACTAGGGGAGGAGTTGCTGAGGATCACATATGGGACATAGAGGCCCTCTTCATTCTCTCTTTTTACCCAATGAGAGTATCACTAAAATCGTGGGGTAGCGTAACTGACTGGTGATGAGCTTCAATCAGCATTCTCTGAAGACCTTTAAAAACAGATCCCGGGCCTTCCTGGTGGCACAAGGGGTTAAAACACAACCTATGAAGCTGTCTGCAGCCTCTGCAGCACGAGTTCAATCCCCAGCCGGCCAGGGAACTACCCACATGGTGCAGCAGACCTCTCCTGACTCCCCTCAGCAGTGTACTTCAGTCAATCTGCCTGTTCTGTTCTCCACTCTGTCTTTCACCCCCCAGATGCCTGGCCTATACCCCAGCTCTTGTATAAATAAATGGCCTGTACCCCAGCTCTTGAATAAATAAATCTTAAAAAATAATAATAACAGATCCCAAGATCTCACGAGAGGATGCAATTGAAAGTCGAGCTGTTGGTGCAGCCCAGAGAGTTTTTTCAATGGGAGACAGCATTCTAAGCATAGCAGAGGCTGTTCAAGAGGAAATAAAAAACCAAGTGGAAGGTTTTCTTCTTTGTACCACTAGTTCTGAAAATCATGGACTGAGAAAAACAATACAAGATAAACATTTGTCATATAATATAATCAATTATATTAATAATTATACATCTGTCATAAAGAACATTAGCAGAACAGTACAGACACTGTGTATGACTCAAGAAACCACTGGTGAGGAAATGGATAAATAATCCCCATAGGTGGCAGAACGTAAGCACTGACTTTCTAGGTCTTACCTCTGAACTGATAAACTTAGGCTTGGGGAAAAACTGTTATCACGTAGAAGTCAGAACAAGCAGACTGGACACTGAGGAAATGTGCTACTAGGAATTATGAAGTTAAAGACAATATACTTGACAAGCCAGCCTGTGTTGGAAGAAATATTAAGGGATGCTACAGTGGCAAAAATAATATTCCATTCACTTCAACCCCAGTCATCTAGACGCAACTATAATTTATGATTCCCAAATTTGGAAAAATTTGCTTCATTAAGAAAAAAACATTTTTAGAATGTAAATTACTTCGTATGTGTATATTCAAATACTGTTTAAAAGATAGTGAACCAGGGCCTCCCCGGTGGCGCAGCGGTAGAGCGCTGGGTTGCGAAGCTGCCGGCGACCTCTGCGGCGCTGGTTCGATCCCCGGCTGCTCCCCGGCCACCAGAGGAGGGTCCCACATGGCGCGCAGACCTCTCCTGCCGCCCGCTGCTCCCCTCAGCAGTGTACTTTGGTCCTTCTGCCTGCTCTGCTCCCTGCTCTGGCTCTGGTGAATTCTCTCACCCTCCCGCGCTTCTGACTGTACCCAGTGCATGTATAAACAAAGAAACAAACAAATAAATAAATAAAAAAAAAAACATGCCTCTATAAAAAAAAAAAAAAAAAGATAGTGAACCATTATAAAATCAAGTCACTTTGCACAACAAATCAATACTTGCACTTATAGGCTAGAGGATGGAAAACCCTCCCTCAAGCTTTGACATGCAGAATAGTAACTTGTGATGGTGCTAAAATGTGGATCCTGGTTCAGTAATCCAGGTGGTGCTCAAAATTCTGCATTTCAACCAGCTTCAGGTGGTGCTAATCTAGGGGGCATTTTGAATAAAAACCATAGAGACACCTAAATTGAGGTTTCACTGAGTAGGGATTTTTCTAATCACTAACATTTTGAGTGTTATTTCAACAGACATTCATTGTGTACCTGCAACATGCCAGGTGCTAAGAGGAAAAGTTACACTGGTTCTACAATCAGCAGCTCCCGGGGCAGGGACTAGGGGAGGGTAGTGACCACAGTAGCTGTCAGGTTGGCAGAGAAGGATAAAACAGGTGTGGTAAGGTAAAACCACAGTAAAGTTGATGAGAATATACCAGAAAAGGAGGCAGATTCTCTGGCTGAACAACAGCAGGTGACCCCATGACAGATTTGAAGGAGCATTGCCAAATATCTTATGTAAGCTACTTACTATAGATCTGGATAGAAGGACCTAAATCTGAAATCAAATTGAACTTCAAGAAGATTACTCTATCTCATAGTCCACAAATCACAGACCATGTGAGAGGCTCAAGTTTGAGAGCCACCAGCAGCTTCTCTGTGGAAGGCGGAAGAGAAAGAAGTTTGGTATTTGGACCAGAAACCCCCCTAAGCACACTGTGCTGACTTGGAAAGTGACCCAGCACAGATTATGATGCTCAGATGCATGTCATGCCTTGCATGTTGCAGGCACCCAAAAGACCTTTTCAAGTAGTTTAATGCATGCTTTTAATTCTCAGATTGTAAACGTGCCTCCAGAGCTAAATACTTCTTAGTCATGGACAGAGGTGGCAGTGCGTGTTTGGGCCGCTTAAATTAGACACAGCATCAGTTAGTTAATAACACTCACCATCACTCAGTACACCGACTGTAGTCTGCTTGACTAGTCATTTGTCAGATTTATTAAAATATTCTCTCAAATTTTCCATTTAGTCATAAAGTGTTTATCTTCCTCTCCAGCTTTGATCAGTAGCTACCACCAAATAAAAGTTATAAGAAAATTCTTAAATTTCATAGAAAGCCTGAGTACCCAGAGTCCCTGGGGTGGAATGTTTTCCCACATAATAGTTATTAACTTGCAAATGGGAAAAGACTGAAACAATTCATTTTTTATCTCCAAAAATCACAGGTTTGAGTAATTTCTTTTCTTTCTTAATATTTGCTGCCCTAGAAAGAAACTCAATCTAGGGAGAAATGATTAGAAGGACTTTTAATTGCATCCAAAACATGAAGATATCTCCTGAAGTTGAGCACTCTTGAGGCAGGGAAGTTTCTAGTTCAATTCCCTGACTATATTGGTAGGTAGGTATGAGTGTTGCATTAGTTCCATTACATAAGTGATAATGTACATGCGACTATTTCCTCAACTGGGGGATTTTGTCCATATACAATATTAATGATGTGCGTCTTCTTGTTATTTACCTTCTAAATCTATGTGCAGTGTTATTTCAAACCCTTTCTCCTCGAGTGTATATTTCTGCTCAGATAGATAGCCATGGACTTGGAATAGTTGATCCCCACTACAGATTTATGGCCTTATATTCCCCGTGGACTGTTTCATGCTAATATGATTGGGTTCAGCATGGGTTTTAGGATGTCTTCCGGTAATAAGGGGTTTCTCTAGAACTGCAAAGGTTCCAATTTCTGCAGAGTCTCCTTCATTTGGAGGCAGAGGCTTTATAGAGGTGCGGATAATCAATTTCTGGTTTACTCTGGCTGGCTGCCCTGATAGAGCCTTTTTAAAATTGGCAGGAGAGGTAGGCGAGGGATATCATCTGACTCTCCCAGCTACTATGCATATCGACTGGCCAGTATACTCTGAAATGAGAGTCTAGGGGATTAACTCTTTTTCAGGTGTGATTTTTCTTGTCTCATCTCTGCTTCCTCCTCCTGCAGGAGAAATGGGTCCCAAGAGGCAAGCGTGACCTTCAAGTCCAGCCCACCAGCCTGACCTCAGTCGGGGAGGAAAGCACCATGGATGGCATCATTGAACAGAAGAGCGTGCTGGCACACAGTAAAATTAGTGATGCTGGCAAGAGGAACGGCTTAATTAACACCAGAAACTTCATGGCTGAGAGCAGAGATGGCCTGGTGTCTGTGTACCCTGCACCCCAGTACCAGAGCCGCCGGGTGGTGGCTGGTGCTGCTCCAGCAACCCTGGACAGCAGCAGGAATGAGCCAGTCCAGCAGCTGTTGGACCCCAACACCCTGCAGCAGTCAGTGGAGTCCCACTTCCGCCCTAATATCATCCTCTACTCAGAGGGTGTGCTACGCTCCTGGGGGGACAGCGTGGCTGCTGACTGCTGTGAGACCACCTTCATCGAGGACCGGTCACCCACCAAAGAGAGCCTGGAGTACCCAGATGGGAAGTTCATTGACCTCTCAGCTGACGACATCAAAATCCACACCCTCTCCTATGATGTGGAGGAAGAGGAGGAGTTCCAGGAGCTGGAGGTCAGAGGATGTGTTTGTCATAGGCCTGTGGGATGGTGGTGGGTGTGTGGTGGGGACTCATGAGTGCCTGGCAAGAGTTAGCGAATGGAACACTTCTGCAGAAATGCAAAGAAACTGAACATTTTCTCGGTACCTCTTAATTCTTGGACATTTGGGGAAGACAGAAGGAGTACAGAAAGGCTTGATGAACAAGACGCAGTGGGGGCTCTGGTAGGGGTTCCAGTCACAGGTCGTCCAAGATGATGGCTGTCAGGACAGGGCTAAAGAGAAACTGAAGTGAGGTACAGAGGGACGCATGTTCCTAGGGCAGGAGAGGCTGAACGTGCTTGTGTAGGAACAATTTGGCAAGTGTTTTGCTTGTGGGTTCTTCACTTGGCACTCCAAAAGTTTCTACTAAGGGGTTATTGTTATGAATAAAACCTGCAGGGAGAAATAGCAGAAATTGGTAACCTAAAGGGAAAATAGGATGATTTATCGATGATTTATCACAGGAGTCACTTAGTCAACTGGAGGGCAGAGAGGGCATTTGAACTTCATGCTTAGAGGCTGCACACTGCACCTGATGTAACTCAGCCCAGCAGCTGCTGAGTGCTCAGCCCCCCCTTCTTCTTTGGTGCAGCACTAAGGGAGCAAGAGCTCTACTGCTAGGGTGTCAACAAAGGCACCCTCTTTGAGGGAAGTAATTCCACTGCTGCGAGGGGAGTGTGTTCCTCCAGGGGGTGAGTGGCAGGGGGAGAAAGACCAGCTATTCAGTCAATTTGGAGGAAGAACTTTCAGGAGGAAGTGTGTGGTCAAATGCAAAGGAATTTGGTTTTGACTAAAGTAGATGAAAACAGTTGTTGGTGGATGGGGATGTCAGCACAGAGCATGCAGTATCAGGGTGGGGAGCTGTCCTGTGCCTCCAAGCCTGTGCACAGAGGTCTGGCCTGCCAGGGGAAGGCAGCACACTCCTTTGCTGAGAGACAAGCAAGCTGGAAAGAAAGTCGGTAAATCAACTGCTCTGGGTTGAAAGAGGAAGGAGATGGCAGTGGAGCCTGTGGAAGTTTGGGGGCATGAGGAGACTGAAGAGAATTCAGCTAGTGATGGGAGGAGGTGACCATTCTAGAAGAGACCATTGGATAAAATGGCAAGTTGCAGTGGGTTCACCCTGAGCTCAACTCAAGAGTGTTACTCCTCTTTCTTTCAGCTTTGCATGAGCTTCTGATAGAGCTTGCATATGAACACAACCCAAGACTAAATGAATGTGTTTTCATAATGTGTCTGAATCCGCATTTTTGGTAAACAATTACTGAATCTATTTTATTGCAACAATTTTCACACAGTGACCTCAACCAGTGTGTGTGGTTTTGGAAATATGCAAAGCTCTGGAAACCCACTCAGAGAGCCTCTCAAGAGAAATGCCAGGAAGTGGGTGGCTCGGGTAGCAGGGTTTTCTACCCAGTTGGTCCAAGGCTTTGACATGTCATGCAGGCCTCTGGGGGGTGAGCTTTGCCCCAGCTGTGTTCTCTGACTTGCCAACAGCAGTGGTAGTACCACAGAAGTGATTCTTTAAATGAGGCAGCAACTGGATCTTTAGTCATAATAGTAGTGCTGACTGTGTTCATACTTTTACAAGATGGAACATGTTGGCGTTGGACCTCAGCAAGAAAAGGTACACCCAGTGATATTAGTGAAACAGCAAATAGTGTAAAGATTAGGCTGTGTTTTAGGCATCTGATAGAATTTTCTGGTTAATATCAAAGAAATGAACCCAGACCAAGAAATGGCTCCTTTCACAGGGAAGGGAGGAAATCAAGAAAATCAAGGCATAGCTATGACTGCTATTGTCCTTCGGTGCTGCTTAGAACACCCATGGAGGATTTCAGGGGGCCACTCTGAGTTAGGAAATCTGTAAAAGCAAGCATTCTCTTAGCAACATTCTTATAGTACAGCAATGACACTTTCTTTTTCTGCAAATGAGGATAGTAACAGTTGAGAAGTGGCATCTTGCCTGCAGTGATTGTTCTTAGGTTTATTCTTATTTCTTATAAAATAATAAAGGAGCATGCATCAGCATTTGCTATACAACAAATCACCCCCAAATCTAGTGAATATAGTGGTGGAAAGCAATAGCTACTCATTTAGCTCATGGTTCTGAGGGCCAACATTTTGAGTGAGTCCCAACCAGTGGTGGTTTCCTGCCTGGTTTCCCGCGGGTCCCCCATCTCTCTGGGGGGATATGTCTGGCCATTGGCTTGGGTGACAGAGGTGACTCTTCACCAGCCACTACAGCAGCTTCATCACCTGGCAAGTGTGTTAGGAACCCCAAAAGCAACAGTAGATAGGAGTCCCAAGGCAGAGGGCTCTTCAAGTCTTTCTGTGTCACACATGTTGTTTACTGACTAAACCAAAGTCAGTGTGAGAGGGAATATTTAGGGTGATAATGTGGGAAAGTGTCAACAAATTGGGGATCAATATCTGTTGTCATCTACCACAAGCAAAATATTTGGACTATTTGGCATAATTTATTTTTAAGACCATCTAATTGAAAAGCGTGATGGCAACCATAGTTATATTGTGACTGGGCCATAAAGCCTAATACCCATGGATCCACAGCTCTTCCCACCAGGAAGTTCTACTTCACACAAAAGAAAAAGAGGGGCCTCCCTGATGGCGCAAGGGGTTAAGTCTCAGTATGATGAAGCTATCCGCAGCCACTGCAGCATGAGCTCGATCCCCGACCAGGGAGCTAACTCACTCTCCTGTCTTGCTTACTGCTCCCCTCAGCAGTGTGTTTCAGTAGATCTGCCTGTTCTGCTCCCCACCCTGTCTCTGGTGAATCCTCTACCCCCTGCGCCTCTGGCCTGCACCCCAGTTCAGTTCTTATGTGCATAAATAAATAAATCTTTAAAAAGGAAAAAGAAAAACAAAGGGATTTGACTTCTTTGGGAATTCTGGAGCTTCTATTGGTCTATATTAAATCAATAGTGTTTCCTAAAAATCTCAGTTTTCAGAAAGCTGTTGCCCTATCATGTAGCGCCCTTCTCTGTCCCTTTGTCACTCTCCCTGGGGAGGTCCCATCCCCAGCGTTTATAGTGGGACCACATACACACAGTTTTGCAAGAGAATATGGCATTCTCAGGTTGCCACCCAGGTCGTGGTCTTAATGGGAATAGTTCCTGTAGCTAATTTTGAGAAGCTTTGTGGAAAGGCCTCAGAGATTATGATTTTCTCCACTCTCTCCTAGAAAAGTGAGCTGCTAGTCACATTGAACTATCTGAAGGGGGCTCATATCAGTGAGGGAGATCTCAGGGGACTCTGAGGATTTTGTGTTCAGAATGGACAGGCAGGCCTCTCTCCTAGGGCACCCTGCAAGGTGGTAATTGGGCCTCCTTTCCCCGCCTAAGGGCCTCCTCCCTGGTTTTTGACCACTGCGTCATCCAGTTCCCAGCCCGCTGCTAAAGCTGCCACTTAAAGGAACACCAACAGCAGGCAACCCCTTCTCCTTTTCGCACAAATCAGCTCACACAGAGAGATTTCAGACAAAAGGAATAAAGCAATTCTGGCAAAATATAGAATGTGATTTTAAAGCTATGAAATAAAGTGGTTGAAGTTCAACCTGGAGAGGCTAACTGCCCTCTTGCTGTTACAGATGCTTATCAAATGTCCAAAGGCAAATTATTACCATTCATTTATGACAATGCAAAGCCTTTAATATCCCAGAGCACATGGACTGCATCACTATGAAACAGGGCCCAGAAGGTTTGGGCTCTTTCTTCTCCCCTGAAGAAAGGAGAAGGAAGATGTTTACTTTGGAGCATCTGCTGTGCCAGGCCCTACCCGGGCACTCTGCCCACTAACCCTGGCAGCAACACAGGCCACAGGTACCACTGCTGTCTTTCTGGACACAAGAGGGCACTGAACTTGGGAGGAGTCCAGGGTCACATGGCTGGCTTTGCTGGCAGCTCTGGTATCTCAGCCCTGCTCATTCACTCATCTTCTGGTGGTGACGCTGTTCTTCCTGTGTCAGGAAAAAAAAAAAAAAAAGTGTTACAGTGAGCTCAGTGAGCTGCTGTTTGAGAGTTCAGAGATAGTACAGAAGGGGACAGATGAGGGGTAACCACAGGCCACACTGTCCCCTCTGCAAACCCCCATGTAGCTGCCTAGCACTACCCATTAAGAACCTGAAGCCTGTTGGGAGACAGGATCTCACAACTACAGTGGAGCAAGGCATGGGCCTCATTTGTGAATATGAATTAGGGGGAGCCCTCAATAAACACTGAAGAAAATCCAAAAGCATGGATGAGACAAAACAACAACAAACACAGAACTTTTGATCCAGAGGAAACAAAGAATTCAGAAAAGAATCCAATAGTTAAAAAATTATTTTTGATATGACTGTTGGCCATTTGCTTTCCTTTTTGGAGAAGTGTCTTTTAAGTTCTTCTGCCCATTCTTGACTGGATTGTTTACTTTGTTATTATTGAGTCCTGTGAGTTCTTTTTTATATCTTTGTGGTCAGTCCCTTATCAGTTGAATGGTGGGCAAAAAATTTTTTCCCAGTCAGTGGGGTGTCTCTCTGTTTTGGTTAATGTCTCTTTTGCTGTACAGAAGCTTTTCAGTTTGATGTAATCCCAGAGGTGTTTATCTTTTCCTTGACTTTCTTTGCTTTGGGTGATGAGTCTTTAAAGATGTTATTGCGATGTATGTCTTGCAGTGTTTTACCTATATTTTCTTCTATATATTTTATGGTTTCAGGTCTTATGTCCAGATATTTTATCCATTTTGAGTTGATTTTTGTGCATTTTTGTGAGAGATATAGTGGTCTAGATTCATTCTTTTGCATGTGGTTCAATAAATTGTCTAGCACCATTTATTAAATAAACTGCCCTTGTTCCATTGTATATTCTTTGCTCCTTTGTCAAAGATTACTTGGCCATATGTGTGTGACTTTATTTCTGGGCTCTCTATTTAGTTTCTATTAGTCTATGTGTCTGTTTTTGTTAGAATACCATACTGTT